CTCGGGATTACTAGAGATTTGTATTATATTCTCTTTTTTCGGTACTTTAGGCTCAGAAAAGTTCTTCTTAAACAACAAAGCCATGGATCCGATTGAGTCTAATTTGCGACCAATAATATTAAATCCTACACTTTGTGCCGATTTTACAAAATCAACGATACGTTTCTCTAAGTCTGAGTTCTGGAGGGCTTTCTTGCCATTCATTTGATTCAATGCGAGCTCTGGTTCTGTCATTTGGTATCTAAAGACTCCCATCAGATATCCCTTATCGGTGACCACATCATAGATATCTTGCATTTGGCTATCGGTGTCCAATTGCCACAAGTCATGTGAATCCCTAATGATAATGAGATTGGCCATGGTCACTTCTTGCGGGAATGTACTACCGCTCGGATTCCACTCAATTGTCTTGAATTCTTTATAGTCATCGCTGAGAGTGTCCTTTGATTTGACAGCAATAGTATAGCTCACGTCAATCGGATAGATATGAGATGAGGCCAACTGTGAGTCCACTTCTTTAGCCATCAATCCATTTGTTAAATTGATTTCCAATACTTTGAGCTCCTTTTTAGGCACATGTGATTCGTTGACGATATCGACGAGAGAGCGAATCAAATGCTCGTTCTTTGAGACTTGATTTATAAGATCTCGCGATAAGTCGTATTCGGGTTTTGCCTGAATGTCGACCAGAAGTCTGTTTGTGTCGATATTCTGGTTCTCATCAATACATCCCTTATAGACTTCGTTCAGGATTTTGAGCAAAATTTGATTGTCTTTCATATCATTTAAGTATTTGTTAACCAAATCGTCGGTAATATTTGCGTTCACTTTACTGTCTTTGGTTTCAATTAATTGTTTGATTTTATCGGCAAGAGATGAACAAACCTAACAATCATATCAAATCAAGTGTTAGTCATGTAATAAAGGGTACAACAAATCATACCTTAATATATTCTTTCACTGATTTCTTCAGCGATTCGTCGATAGCGATGGTCTCTTCATTGGCCACGAATTGATACGATTCTAGTTTCAAGTCCTGGACATTAGTCTTGCGAGGAATGGGAAGTGCCATCAGATCCTCGATTTCAATACCATGTGTGACAATCATTCGTGAATTCATGTCCACATGGAATGGCAGTATAGAGTCATAGACGTGAAACTCTTTGCCGAACAGCTCTTCAATATATTCGACAGAATTGGTGGACAGAATGCCCTCCACTTCCGCCTCATCCGTCTTGCCTTCGGTATCCAAATAGGCGTCGATCTTATCTTCGGATACCTTTTCTTCGTGTTCTTTAGATTCCGCCACTTTATTAGCGGTGATTCCTTCGTACATAACCTTTGGGTCGCAGCGAAGACTCTTAATCATCACCGGAACCATCATTTTCCTGAAAGGCATCGCAGCGGCCATTGTCTGCAGCAATGAGTCCATAAAAGTGATCCAATTTCCATCCCAACTGATCTCTCCCTGAATTGTCTCAAAATTGTTTGTCTTTACCGAACGAATGCGTCTAAACTTCGGTCCGTAATCATAGCCCAAGACTTTGAGGTCTTTGTAGAGATCATTTGTGGTCAGATTCACTTCAAAGTCTTTAGCGAGTGTTGTATTCGCGTCTTCAATGAGGTGTTGAAGGCTGAGAGCGTACTCATCACTGGTGCGGACTCTTCCCACACACGTAACGTTACCGGCCTCTAAGATTGTGAAATCACCTGTAATTCAAATTAAATATTTAGTTATTTGTTATAAAATATAACATGTAATATTTTATATAATGACCAGTTGTCTCGTGGTATTTCACTTTAATTCTGGTCATATCTGTTTCGGACAAGAATATGGGTCTCCGGAACTGGACGTCCTCGAAGATGGCCGGCAATTGGTTCCATAGCCTTCCGTGTTGTGCAGCCATTCGTCTCCAGGCGAGCATCAGATAACCGGTGGCCGGATATAAGACATTGCCGTCAATGCAATGCTCGGGCATAAAGGCCTTAATATTTTGGGTCGGATTATAGACTTCATTCAAATCAGCAGAATTTGGTCTAAAGTAATAGTCAGGGTATTTGCGGACACCATAATTAACGTCGTGATCCCATTTCAATAGGGAACTAATGGATTGAGTACTTCTGGCGACCGGCCATTCGACCCGAGGGTATAGGTTCTCAATTAGAGGATTGAGTCCTAATTCATACAACTTTGCGATCGATTGTAAAAACATCTCAAGATTTGTATCGTTTGAGTCTTTCTTAATGAGCGATACATAAGATCCCGATTCTAGTGTTTCCTTCACTACTTTGCCGAACAGCCCGTGCGGTCCGATCTCAAGGATGAGGGCATCCGATGGCAAGTGTTTGAATTTGTTATAAAAATGGACGGGAGATACGAGATTATGGACGAAATACTCGGCCGATGCGGTCTTGAGTTCATCTTCCGGATCGGATTCAATAATCGCTGTTGAGATCCATTTCTTAGACCGGGGTTTAGGATTGAGAACCACTTTCTTGAGTTCTTCTGTGAGTTTCTTCGCGGATGTAATGAGATATTCGCTATGATATGGGATATCATTGCTTTGGAGTTCGCGAACAAATATTCCCTTTTGAGTCAAGTCTTCAATCATTTGTTTCACTTCATTGTATAAACCTTTAAATAAATAGACATTTAATTAAATATTTGTATTTGTAATAAATATTATGTAATCATTACCTGAGACGACGACTGTGTCCTTTCCGTTATTACAGACAGGACTCACTCCTTTCGGACACAACTTCTTGGCCTCATTCCAAGACAGACCCGCGACAGCCATCAGTCCTTTCGGTATCTTTTTGTCACTTTCGGTCACAAGTCCTCTATAATAGGTAACTAACATCGCTTCTCGTGTGTCAAGACATCCGTCGGCATAAGCGGCCGCTATTTCACCAAAAGAGTGGCCAATAATACCGTCGGGAGTAATACCGAGAGCGAGGATAACATCACACAATGCTATCTCTATAGCAGTTGTGGCACAGAATTTGTTCGTCATATTAGACATTGAATTCTTGTCATCAGATAATAAGAGGTGTTTTAAGTCTATGTTATAGGGTTTCAATATTTCATGGCATTCATCGATCTTATCGGCGAATATCTTGATTGGCATCAAAGCCTTAGCCATTCCAACCCATTGTCCGCCCAAACCGGGGAACAGGAAATATAGGGGTCTTTGAGTCTTAAGTGTAAACATTCCCGTTTGCTTCTTATACTCGTATTGTCCGTCAGTTCCTTGTTTTATAATCATTGAGCCTTAAATTGATTATAAAATAAAACAACGGATTAAAACAAAATTACAATTAGTTTTGATTCAACACTGAATACCTCTATAAGGCATTCCACTTGAGTTGAGCGACGGATTGACTCGCATTGTCTCCGCCAATAGTGAGAGGAAATCTCGGGTTATTTTCTGCGGATTATTCTCAATGAATTTGAAGAACTCATTCAACGCGCCTTCGCTTCGGCAACAGATGTTCACAATTCTCGGGATTGTGTCCGCGATCTTAAGACTGTCCGCATCGGACACCTTATAGTTGGGTTCGAGCAACGCGTGTGCGTTCACTCCCCCGACACCGAAGTTGTTCACACCAGCGATACCTGAAGTGATTTAAGACAATATTTAATTATAGAAATAATTATTAGTTTTCATTCGTTGAATACAAACCGGGAATATATTTGGTGTTTTCTGTGATGGGCACGAGAGGCGGACACAACTCTTTGATATTAGCTTTAATGACATCCAAATGCAGATTCGGTGGAAGACATTCGTTCTCAAAGGCCAGCAATACTTTGGTGACCGACGAGACGCCGGACGCGGCCTCCGCGTGACCGATGTTGCTCTTCAACAGACCCACCGGTAGAGTACCGTTTCGTTTGGGTTTTCCGCAGTAAGCGTTATATATAGCTCTGGCCTCTTGAGGATCGCCGACCTGACCATACAATCGATATTATTATTGAAAATAAAAGTGACAGTAGTTTACTATATCTATACAGACCTTAGTTCCGGTCGCGTGGGCTTCAAAGTAAGTCACTTTCAACGGATCCACTTTCGCCTCTTCGTACACTTTAATCATCAACTCTTCCTGTCTCTCAGCCGAGGGGTAAAACATTCCCATTCTTTTGTTTCCATCGATATTCACTCCAGAGTTCAAAACAGTGGCGTAAATACGTTTGGCCTCCGATTTGCGTTGCAATAGAAAGCAACAGATAGTCTCTCCCCTCACAAAGCCGTCCGCCTTCTCGTCCCACACTTTGGGAATGCCGTCGAATGCGTTCAGACGAGTCGATTGGAAGATCTGATTGGAAAACGGCTGAAGACATACTTGAGTTCCGCCGACGATCGCTTGTTTACACTTGCCTTCACATTACAAATGCAATTCATTAATCAATTGGTTTCACTAATTGTTTTTTTCGTCAGTTTTTTTCAAACCTAATCTCAAGTCATTCATCGCTGTATTGAACGCAACCAAACTGGAAGAGCAGGCGGTGTCGATGATCATCGACGGACCCTTGAAGTCAAACGTAAACGACACCCGATTGGCGTACAGACACTTCTGAGAGCCCGGAAGCCATAGCAGTGTCTCAGCCATAATGGCCTGAGAGTCCGGCTGAACGTCTTCGGGCAGTCCGTCAGGCATTCCGAACGACGAGAATCCGATGTAAACACCGGTCTCTGAACCCCGAAATGTCTGAGGATTTAAGCCTTGAATGAAAAATGAAATATTAGTTTTGCCATCAATTGAAGTAATGTTTCAATAATATTCATAATATAGTGTGTGTTATACCGGCGTCAATGATGGCCTCGTAAGTGGTCTCCAACAACATCCTAGAGTGCGGGTCAATCACATCAGCCATAGTTGTGGTCACACCGAAGAAGAGTCCGTCAAACTTCTCGATTTGTTTCAATTTACCCATTCGTGGATTCATTCCAAACAGATCTTCATTTAGAAACCAAAATATTTCACATTTTATTTCATTTTAATTAATTAATTTTTAATTTAAGAATTGAATTGTAATTTAAGAGATGATTGTGTTTTGCGATGCATTTGTTGGACACAAACAGACTTCGAAGGACTAGAATGGCTAAGAGAGACATACATTGAAATGGCAATCATTTCTCAACTATTTTAGTCCCTGAAAGCCGTTTATTTGATTGCATTTGAGTTAAACAAAATTAACACATCATTCAATTGAAACCAAAATTAGTAATTATTAACAATTAATCAAAAATTTTGAATTTCAAAATTCATGTCATATGAAAATGTTATAATAAAATGTTTACGGTTATTAATAGATAAATATTGTTTTTTCAATCAATGAACACTTTTGTAAATAGTTTTGCAGTCTTTCAAAAGTTATACATTTGTCGCAATTTTTAAAGAATACAACAGTTTACTAAAAATTGTGGCATTTTCTCTAAATAATTATATTTTTATTAAAATTAATAAAATTAAAATTAAATTTTAAAAAATTATTAAATACTGAAATAATACTCATATTATTTATTAATTATTGGAATTAGTATCTATAAATCAATAATAAGTAAGTGGTAACAAACCTGTAGGCCATCGGCGGTTATCAGCGGTGATCATATCGACCTTATTGTACAGATTCTGTGCGAACTCGTCGGTGGAGTCGGACTCCGGATACCGACCACCCATTCCACTGATCACTATGTCTTCGTCCATAGTATGCGACATATTCTGATGCGAAGCCATCGTTCAAATATTAACAATTTATTACTCAATACTAAATATATTTATTTAAAATTATTATTTGTTGCAATATTTTTCACAGATTAAAAATTATTTATTAAATTTCTTTATAAAACTTTTCATTAATAACTGCACAAAACAACCAAAAACTTTACCAAAACTATTCTTAATACAGTTGTATGTTATGAACGATCGGAACGTTATAATCAAAAAGATGTACAAAAGAGCCGCTATTTATATACTGAACAAAACTGACCAAAAAATGTAAATGAGTTTATTTATAGACTTTGAATAACTTATAGATTTATAATGAAATAATTAAATAATAATTTTCCAAATCTTTAATATATTTATTCCATGGGATTCCCAAAACCACAGAACAAATTATACACCACTTTCTCTTTCTCTACAGATTTGTATTGATTTGTTAATTATTTGTAGAAAAAATGTACTCAAAGAATGAATTGTTGAGAAAGAGGTACTATTGATGAAAAACACTTCTTTATATATATACCAATTTTGTCATAACACTAACTGTACGTACGGTCAGGATTAAGGTTACGGTTAATCGTCTAATTGGAAGAGAGAGAGAGAGAGAGAGAGAGCGAGAGAG